TTTTACAGGGAGTTGCTTATATTATTTGGTGCTTTGAGCTGCTTTTGCTGATCTCCGGATTTTCTCTTGCAACATTAAAGGAGTAGTTCACCCAAAATGGAAATTATTTAATTACCATTGCTATCAATTGTCATTGACATGTCATTATTTATTCACGCGGTTCCAAACTTTTTCCCGTGGAACTCAAAAACCTTTCAATCTGATATTCTTCTGAAGCTATATAATATTATATCTTACTATATCTACTAGTATTATATTTTACCATAATATAATTGAAATGTATTACAAATACTAATACAAAAATGTATTTAATATTTTATTTGTTATATTATTATACATGTTATATATTATATTAATATGATCATATTATTAAAATATTTTATTATAAATAAAATATTTTATATTTGTTTCTTCTGAATCCATATACTATAGCTTAGCATTAATATTAAAAATTACTTTATTTATTTCAAATGTATAATAAATGTAATACTTTGTTTATTTTAAACACACACACAGTGTTGGGTAAGTTACTCTAATTACTCTCTCTAAAATGTATTGCATTAATTATTACTAATTACTTTCTAATTCCAATATCAGCCTCGACCAGTTAAACAATGTAAGGATAGACATAAAATTGCTCTTTTAATTCTTTCACATAAATCATATAAAATTGCATAAATTATTCTTAAACCAACCAAAGTATTTAAAGGGAAAAGGTTACATTAAAAACACACATTTTGACATTAGATGTTACATTTTGATGTTAAATCCATTATTGTTTTATATGTTTTCCCATGGTCTATAAAGTATTTAATGCAATTAAATCTGAAGTAACTGTTATTAAATTACAGAAAAATCAAGAGTAATCCCTTACTTTACGTTTTTGAGGGAAATTAATTACTTAGTAACACATTATACCCACCACTATATGTATATATGTGTGTGTAAATAATGAACAATATTACTTTTTTTTTGTAAACTATTCCTTTACCACTATGTCTACTATGTTTCCAGTGCAAAAAATTGTCTCTCCACATTGAAGTGAAAATACATAAAGAGACACAATAACAATCAGTCAGAACATATTTGATAATTAATATAGAATTATATTGAGCATTATTTTGAACTTATATTTGTCCAGACTGACAAAAAGTCCTGTGGCTTGTCATGGTTAGAAACCTATTTGGAAAAGACAGGGTCTCAGTTGTCACTTCTCTGTTGCTCTGTATGTTCGTATTTGCTGCATTATATCTGAGTTTCTTTTGTGGTGTGTGCAGAACACATGAAATAGGCTGTACAGGTAGAGTCTCATGGCTTTGTTCATTGAGTTTTGTAAAGGTTTTAGTCAAGGCTGCTGTTGTTTGCATAACTCACCGGTTTCATCACTGCTTCTCTACCTGGTCTCAGCGGTATTTGTCTCTCAGCTTGTTACCACGGCACCCGCTGACTCCCACGAGAGTTGCGTAACCATTGAAAGCTGAGTAACCTGGGCTTCACATATTGTGTTTGACCAATCACAAAACACAATGGTCCCTTTGTAACAAAGCACTCTGGGAGGAAGTAGTCGCAATGCTGAAAGAGAGGACAAACTGTGTGCAAAAACCTTGTGGCGTTTAACTCTGAACCTGGCATCTGTTGGAAAATTGTGCCAGAGGCTCAGCCTTTTGTTAAAAAAAAAAAAAATGTAGTGGTGGTTGTTGAAGTGGTAATTCCTCCAGATTCTCAGATCACCCTTTTGCTGTGTGTGTGTGTAAAGAGTGCCCACGATGTGTGAATGATTCAGACCCAGCATCAAGACTGTTTGGTTATTATGGCAATAGTAAAATTTATGCTCTTGGTTTTTTTTTTTTCATGCCAATATTGATTTTTTTAATAGTATGCTATAAAAAGCATAACTGTTATATCTGATGGAACCGAAAAACAGTTAATGTATAATCAATAACCGCAAGCACTTTGACTTTTTACTGCTTTTTTTTTTTTATAATGCTTCCACTCAAATTTTGTTGGATGTTGCTAATGCTGAATTATGCTAATCTTACATATCATTATAAAATGTTCTTTTAGTGTTATTTATATAATATTATATAATGAATTTATTAATATTAATACATTTTCGTTTATATTTGAGTAGTTTTGTTATGCGCCTTTGTCATTTTTATTAGTTTTTGTTTAATATTTATATTTATCCATTTTGCTTTTTAGTAATTTTAGAACTTACACTTTTTCAGTTTTTTATTAATTTATATTAAAGTTCTGCACTGTTAAAAATAAACAAATAAATGATACTAATAATAAATCTACCAGGAGATAATCCATTCATTTTGCTGACATTTTTGTTAAAAACTCAAAACGCAAAAATTCTAAATGTAGGTAAAACGCCAATAAACAAACAAACAATTGAATAAATAAATAAATAATCAAATGGAAAATTCCTTCATTTTAATACAGTACAGATGAATTTAAATTGGCAAAAAGGTTTTTAATAGTTTTAGTTGACAGCAACAATGTCAGTCAGAGCACAAAAGAGAAAGACAATGCTCACTTACGGTATGTTTGTTCATTCATTCAGTTTTTGAATAAACTTAACTATATGTTAATTTCAACATTTAATTAGGATTTTATCATATGCACAACTGATGAAAAATAGCAAAGAATGACTTTACTTCTCACACGTAAGTATATTAGTTCAAAACATTTCCTTCTCATTGTGCATTTAGAGCAAACTTGTAGTGGTCTCATTATGAACTCCTGGCAGAGAGAGAAAATAAAGGAGTGAAAACTCCTCATGGGGACACTAGGACTGAAGAAATGGGGTTCTGCACATTCTTTCCATGTTGAATTTAGTAATATTTGAGTGGGGAAAAAAGAAAGCCAGTGTTCTGGTAGAGCTTGATTCCAGCCAGTAGAGGCGTTAAGAGGAGCAGAAAGAGCTGGACACGAATCCAGCCTGACTTCTAGTGGAGGATTTGTGTAGTGCACCTCAGCCAGAAGGTCCTTTGTCATTGTCACAGTCTTATTGTTCTTTTTGTGCTGGCTAAAGCAAGGATCACTATTACTGATGCTCATATTTAGGGTTATGGATTTGGACAAACCATTAAGCATTACATTTAGCATGTAACATGTGCCACACTGTTTGAGCTACAGATATGATTATGAATGATGCCTGAAATGATTTGGCTTTGTTGAAGTGAGATGTGCTATTGCGTTTCTAAGCAGTCAGACTCGGTACACCATAGACTCAAAACAACTTAGCAATTACAATTTTACAATAATAATGTTTGAAATAATTGTAATAAACTGTACTTTGCACTCATTTAGTAATAAATTGTTAAATTAATATATAGATTAAATAAGATACCGTGGGCATATGTCTTTTTCAATTCTAATTTTTTATAGCCTTATAATACAATTGTATACTAAAAGTATTGTATTAATATACAACATTTTAATAAGCTCTTCTGTGCACTCATTTAGTAATAAAATTACTAAATAAGTAGATAAAAAGACCTTTGGGCATGTGTCTTTATATTCTTATTTTATATAGTCTTATATTTCTTTAATACAAGAACATAATTGTTTTTATACGCAAAAAATATTTAAGAATTTCCCAAAAAAATTAATAAACTAAATCTAAATATTTTTTCTATTATTCTTTTTTTCTCGTTATTTATGTTTGGTTGTATTTTTTTATTTGGCTTATTTGATTTTTAGATTTTATATTGTTAAATAATAACAAGAATGATGATTTATTATATTATTTATTTATATTATTCATATTTATATATTTTTTTTATTTAGATATTTCTTCGTAATTTCCCCAACACTTCATGCAGTGTACTGCTTTTAACAGCAGGTGGTGTTACAAAACATAATTTAAGCAATTTTTTTGTTCTGCCTCTTTTGAGATGGAGGTCACCATTAGATTCCAGTGCAGTTTGTCCATGTGACCTTGCTCTCTGTAACCTTTGTATAAGTGTACATTTAGGGTCACCCGCCCTCTTACAAACATAGAGCCTACAAGACGGTATTTAAGATGCTTTGTTGTTTTTACCTTAGAGTCAATACTTGACTTTCATCTGGTCTGGATCTGCATCTCAACATATTTACTAACATATGACCGAAACTACTACCTGTTCTGTTCTGGTCCAATCTCACCTGACATTTGTTTTCTCTTTCTTTCACTTTAACTCTTATTTATCAAGTAATCCTGTAGTCTTAATAGCAAAACAAGGAGGCAGAGGTTTACTTGTACTATATCAGAAGGCAAATGTTTGGCGAGCTGTGTGTTTGCATTTGTGTTCCTTGTCACACAGGGTCTCTCAGTTCATAATCAAGTGCGTCTGTGCGCGAACACAGACCCTCTTTTGTCCTCCTCGCTATCCCAGCATGCCTTTGTGAGCACAAAGGCGGCCCAGTTCTGGCGTCAGTGATGTTGTGTGTGTGGAAGGGGACAGGGCCCGCTGTATGCTCAGCCTCAGATACATGATCACTGTGATGGGTTTGTCTGAAGAACCACTTATAGCTCAAGCAAGACGCTCTCTGGTGAAGGGACCTGAGACTCTTTGTTTAGTAGTGTCTTGCCAAGCCTGTTTGATAAATGATATTTCATATTAAAAACTGGTTTGAACTGGGCCATAGTAATGGATCCAAGAGAAAAGCATCATAAGGTCAGACGTAACTTTTAATTGCTTTAATCACAAATAAACTTACCGGTCAATCAGAATATATAGTATACTTTTTATATTATTAGCATTATTCATTTATTATTATTTGCTATAGTAAAAGGACATTTAAATGTTGCTTAACCGTATTTTAAAGAGAAATTAAATTTCTGTTCTGTAACTGCATTTCTCCATGTGTTTCAGCAGTGAATTTTTCTGTAGCACTCTTTTCAGTGTGATATCAATGTCTTGTCCTTTGCTGAGAATTCTGGGAGAGCGTGTGCTTTTAGAGAGGAATAGACTTTGATCTTTTCTCTTTCTTTCTCTTCTTACCTGCAGGACCTGGAGATCGTTTATTCCTACTTGCATGGAATGGAGGCGCTGTCCAATCTTCGGGAACACCAGCTGAGGTAACACTGAAGGAAGGATTTGATAAATGGATGGAAAAAATGCACAAATGTTTTTGAGGTCAAGCGGGTGGTGGATGGTGGGTTATGCATACAGATGCGTGAAAGACAGTTTTGCTGTGTTTGGGTTTATTCATTATTTTATTTTATGACAAAACTAGTAAAGATATGTGTTGTTTTATAATTTGAACAATTATTTTTACTTTTGGAGTGCCATTTTTAGTTATGTTTTTCTCTAGTGTAAATGTATTACACATTTTATATGATTTATTATTTTATTTTATGTTGCACAAAGTCAGATTGTATATATGTATATAATTTTTTATAGATATATATATATAGATATATATTTTTAAATATATTTTAAGATGTTAAAATATTTTTTATAATTTGTGAACAATTATTTTTTACATTATTTTTATTTTTATAACAATGTCGGACTGCTATTTTTAGTTATGTTATCCAATATTGTCAATATTTTATCAGTTCTTTCTATTTTTTTTTTTTGCAAATTGAAAATTCTGAACAAAATGAAAATTCTGTCATTAATTACTCGCCCTCATGTCTTTCCAAACCCAAAAGAACTGTGTTCATCTTCAGAACACAAATTGTTTGATAAAATCCGAGATCATTCTGGCCCTCCATAGACAGCAATGCAACTACTACGCACAAGGCCCAGAAAGGTAGTAAGGACATTGTTAAAATAGTCCATGTGACATCAACTGTTAGTGGTTCAACCATAATTTTATGAAGCTACGAGAATACTTTTTGTGTGCAAAGAAAACAAAAGACTTTATTCAACAATTTCTTCTCTTCCATGTCAGAACGCCGGCTCCTGCGTCAGCAGAATCACACTCATGCATCGTGATACTCTCGTTAATGGTGGTGGAGACTAACAGAAGAGAAGAAATTGTTGAATAAAGTCATTACTTTTAGTGCACAAAGAAAAATTGCAGTTGAACCACTGATGTCACATGGACTATTTTAACAATGTTCTTACTACCTTTCTGGGCCTTGTACGTGGCAGTTGCATTGCTGTCTATGCAGGTCAGAAAGCTCTTGGATTTCATCAAAAATATCAAAATTTGTGTTCTGAAGATGAACAAAGGTCTTACAGGTTTGGAATGACATGAGGGTGAGTAATTAATGAACAATAAGATATCTCAGATTATTAATGGGGTTAATGATTTTAGTTTTGGCTTAAGGTATTTGCATTGTCGTCTGAACTCTTAAATCGACCTTAGAATGACCTTCTCAAGGATTTCACGTCATTATGTTTATACACACGTGGATGTGAAAATTGGGGGGAAAATACTTAGCTACTTGACCACAGTGTTCTAGAACGTTCCAAACCCTACCTGACCCCTCCAAATCCCCTTCATTGGTCCGTACACATTTTCAGGAATGTGTCAGATGGACTTGGTTGACTTTCTACCCCCCAACTGAGCTGAACTTTAAGGAATATCTTTTGAAGAATGTTTTTGTCTTTTGGAATGTTTTGTTCTGTGGCGATACATCCGAGTTTGCTTAAACAGCACTTCTGACATAAATCGACACTGAAATATGTCATGCACAAACCGAGTTTGGTTTGGTCCTTGCTGTTCTTAATAACAGGCAGCCTGTATTGTTTTTCTTATCGAACACAGTGCCAACCAGACCTGAATACCCACAAGACTTTTCGTCCTGAAATCCATTTTGGTTTCACAACACGATATTTCATAATTGCAGACAAAAATATGAGGTTGATTGCTTCTTTTGGAACCATTAAGTTTGGATATGTCACTGATTTATGGTTCTCTCTCTCTCTCTCTCTCTTGTCCTCTTTTTTCAGGATAATGTGTGAAACCGTCCGCTACGAACGACATGAAGCCAACGAAGTGCTCTATTAGTAAGTAACAACCATGTTTTCCATCCAATATCCTTTTGTTTAAAGCCATTATGCTTCTTTAAGCCTTTATAGAATGTACAATGCATAACCACAAATAATCTTCAAAGATCGTGCCACTCCAGAAGCGATGATAAATATAGCCCGCTTTTGAGAAGACTTATCAAATTACAAAGGTGAGATGTGAACTCGCTGAAGCAAAAGTGTTATATTCAGCGCTGCATGAGCCTTCTGTTGTGTTATAATGAGTATCCTAGTAGCTGAAAATGGCATTATGAGGAATACAGGGTTTCTGGGTGATATACACACACAGCTATTGATCTGCAACATCTAAGACACACTGACCCACTTTAGATTCGCCCTTCATCTGGCATGTGTGTTTTTAAAAAGTCCTTGCTTGTATCCTCTCGATGCTGTTTGAAGTTTATGCTGACTTTGTCTGATGCCAAACACTTCTTGCTTTTTTGGTCCTGTAGCCCAACACACACATGCTCAAACACATATATATTCCCTTAGGTGGACCCAGACACTCCCCTCCAATTTCACACTCTATTTTCTTTTCTCCTGGAGGAAGATGAAGTGTGCGCTTCCCTCTGCGGGTCACTATCCCTTGTCCATAATGGGGAGCGTCTCATTTACTCATGGTCTCTGATAGCATCTAGTCTTTTGTGCCTGTGTAAGAGCGGAGTTGCTGCCAAATTAGGTCACTTTTGGGTCAGTTGATGAAATATATGGTGTTCCATGGAAATGGGCATATTAAATTAAAGTAGATTATTCTTCAAAACTCTTAAGTTTAAAATGTTAAAATGTAAAAAATTTTTTTAATTTTTTTACGATTTTTAACACAAACCGTTGCAGTCTGTCAGTCTTATAATGGAGGTGAATGGGAATCATGGCTTTGAGAGTAAAAAAAAACATACACAAACAAAACCAAATTAAACCCTGCAGCTCGTGACGATACATTGATGTGTAAAGACACAAAACGATCGGTCTGTGCAAGAAACTGAACGGCGCGTCCTCCTGAGCACATTCTCAACAGCAGGCGTGTGAGGCGTCTTCTTCTTCTTGCTTATATTAGAATTATCAATGTTGGCAACAGTTGTGCTGCCAAATATTTTTTTGGGGAAACTGTGATACTTTTTCAGGATTCTTTGATGAATAAAAAGTTAAAAAGAACAGCATTTATTCAAAATATAAGTCTATATCTATATATCATGGGCGTTCCCTCCGAGGAGTGATATGTGTGTGTGTTTGTGTAAATATACGTGTGAGAGAAAAACATGGACAGTTATTATTCCCTGAATCTTTGCTGTTGCATATTAATTCTCAAAATGTATATGGTGAAATTAGATGCATTTCAGCAATTTTGGGCAAATGTCAACAGATAACATTGGTTCCTGCATGTTTTGGGACCATTGACGTCAAACGTGACACTTTCAGAACTCAATACAGTGTGAATATAGTACAATTCCAGTCTAAATTGACAATTTGAAGAAATTATAAAAAGGGCTCAGAAATCCCTGACTTTCTGTTGTAGAGAAAATTGAATGTATGAACACTTTGAGCAAACTGATATTAGACCAGAGAGCAAACTTGCAGGCTGTACGGATGAGTAAAGTGCTCAACTAAAATAAGAAAGAAAAAGAAAAATTACTTTTTTGGTGCACTAACAAAAAAAAAGTAGACCCTAGGGAAAATGTAAAAGAAAAAAAAAACAATTCAGAAATATATAGCAACAGTTTTCAACTAAAAGACCTCTGTGTGACTTAATTATTGTTCTTTGTGGGTTTGTGTCTTGAATTAGACAACAATTTGGCAAAACAAATGCAGATTACCTGTTCATTTTAAAGGCTCTATCTGATTGGCTGTAGCAAGTTGCACACAACTAAAAGTCAGACCTCGTACGGCATCCTGCTGTTCATTGGCTGCAGGGTGGAGATGACAAAAACTTTCTTTTGGAATGCAAGTTTGACTGACTTGTCTAATAGGCAAATGCCAATATTTTTGGTTCATCTAACAGTTGTGGATTTGTATAACTGTGTGAGTTAGTCCTCTGTTTTAGGTGGTTGTTTTCATCTATACACTTTCAAAACTCCCAGTGGCAGACTATTTAAGGACTAACACTCCACTGAGTCTGCTACACCAGCCTTGACGCTGTTCCTCAGCGACTCACTCCACTGTTTTTTCTATTAGACAGCCTGCTGCTTTAAAGCTCGGCACTAATAATAATCTTCAGACTTGTGTGCTGCTGCTGCTGATTTCCCTCAGGAACAAACCACTCCCACCGCAACAGCCTCTGAACCACTAGTGCCAGATACACAAACATCATGCTTTCCGACATGCTATAAAGGCATGCTTTTTATGGTTTATTTTTGAGCAGGTTGGAAGGACAATAATATCACACTGGGGTTTCTAAAAATATTCGTGATAAAAGTTTTAATGTTGTTACTGAGGCACATTGATTTCTGCTTTCTGTAAATAATATTGAAGCAGTGTTTAAATTTGTGAAACAAGTTGAAAACCTCAGGGGACTTTGCTCAGGGACTTTTTTTCATGTTCATGCTAATTATGCTCTTAAACAAGAATTAGATATTCACATAAATGAAGACGTAATTATTCTATTTTAGTGGATGATTGATATAGATTTTTCTGTGATTTATATCAGAGTGGTCAATATAGTACCAATTTTGTATTTTTTTTTATACAATACTTTTTTTCACTACTACACAATTTCTTTAATTGCTTTAATGTCAGCATTAGGGTTCGATTTCACAATAGTTATCACAATACTAGGGTGTAACGATACACGTTACTGTTCGGTATGAGGCTTTCGTTTCGGTACGCATTACAAACCGAACAATTAATTGGACTAATCCTATTACATTTGGAAAATAAAAGAGCTTAAAGTGTGTGAAATATAATGTTCTCAGTGCCACTGTGCTCAACAAGGCAGTCCAAACGAGGTAACTGTCCAGTGGTGTAGCGGACGGACACACAGGGCACACACTGTGAAAGGCCCCGCGATAACCTCCCCTTGCTGGGTTGCATCGAAACACGATGATCTTGTATGACGATAGCCAGAGATATTATCAAAAACATCAGTTATTGGCAATATTAGGAGTATTTGGCATTTCCAATTAATGCGGCCTGCTACATTCGTATTTGTATTAGGCCTATTATTATTATAAAGTTACTTTTATTATTAAATTAAAATTACAATTAATTTGCCCCGCATTATTAATGCATAACTGACGCGCTGCGAGGATAACAAAATATTAGGCTATTTACACCTCAATTAAAATAGTTTTTTTAAAAACAGGTCTATTATACAATGAATTATAGGCCTGTATTAATATTATTAATATTAATAAAATATTAACACAGTCCAATAAAAATCAATGAAATAAAAAGCTTTAGCCTATTTCAAGCACCGACTCAAAAACAACCTGTTTAACACAAAATAAGTTTCTTCTCATTTGTTTTTCACTATGTACGGGCCACAAGAGAAATAAATTAAAACCGTTAGCTATATACCGTTATCAGCATATGTTGAAGTAGATTCGTCACTCGTCGTATCTGAGAGAATATGTGGTGTGAGATGCTGAAAGCTCCGTCATTACTCCGTCATTCCGTTTTTACCGTCACTTTCTGCATAATGAATTGACTGAGAATAAGACGTTCACCGGCATAGCACGTAAGCCAATGCTTATGTGATGTCCATTGGCTCGCCTTCATGGTTTAAAACAGAGATATTTCCAACATTGCGATGTATGCAATTACCCCCCCCCCCGTATTGAAAACGTACCGAACCGTGACACCACTGTATCGTATCAAACCAAATCGTGAATTTTGTGAACCGTTACACCCCTACACAATACATATGTTGTTACATTATATGTTGCAACATATATTGTTACATACGCAGCAAATCAGCATATTACATTTTAAAATATGCTCATATAGCTCATAAGTTACTTTAAATTGTAATAATATTTAACAATATTACTTGTTTTACTGCATTTATCAAATAAATGCAGTCTTGGTGAGCATACAAGACTTCACCAGAAACATGAAAAATAAATCGTAGGTATTCCAAACTTTTGAACGGTACTGTTTACATATAAACACAACCCCCCCCAAATAAAAAAAAAAATTAAAAAAAAAATAATAGTAAATAAAAATACAATTAAACATTGTAATGACAGAAAACATGTATTATCTGTTGAAAATCATGATGATAAATAATAATTATGATAATAAATACTAGTTATATTTACCATATAACTAATATTTCTTATTGTAGAACTGCACCGTCTCAGTGAGATTTATAGGAAGATGGCTTTGAGTTAATCTGTGTTGTCACACTCTGGTAAGGCTGCTGTCATCCTGCCCATCTCTGCTTTGAACAGCCTCAATAGAAATAAAACCCTACAAAAGCCTTTTATGTGTGCAAGAATAGCTGTTGACTTTGAGTACTCAGGCAACATTCACATAAAAGTGTGTCTGTATGTGAGTGTGTGCATGCAGGAGTGCTGCTCTGTAGTTGCATGGGTGATCCATCATTCTCCACCCTGGCCTGATGCATGCATACACTCACTCTCACACTCTCACACGCTCTCTCTCACACACACACACGCACACGCACACACATACACACACATACACACACAGACAGACAGACAGACAGAAACAGCTCAGCAGAAGGGTTCTCTCCTACAGTCATGGCCACCAGCTGGTATAGAGAAGGTTTCCCTCTCCCCATCACTCTCTCTCTGTATTCCTGCTGGGACTCCCATCAGAGATGCCGCTGGGCACAAACACACAGCTCAGACCAGAAATGCAGGCACATCAACACGGATAGAACCACAGTTGTGTCTTTGCTTGATTTAAATGCACATTTAAGATTATTTTTAATTTTGTCAATTTTTGCAATGATAAAACTTTCATAATACCACTCATTAAATTTTACATTTACATTTAGTCATTTAGCAGATGCTTTTATC